GTGGCCTAGGCCGAGGCCAAGGGCGCGTGATTCGCGAAGGTGGCGTGAGGAGGCGCACTTTGCACTTCGCACGCCGCATCAAGCAGAAGGAGCCTCCCCCCAAGCTCCGAGTATCTTTTTGGTATAGAATCGAGAGGAGAAGAAAAAATAAACTGGTTTTATTTTAAAACAAATCGGTTTATGATTTGGTCTTCCACGTTTTTAGAGATAATGGCCAGTTGAGGAATATCCTCGTCATTATCTGCGATTTGTGAGATGTATGGCTTAACCATCACCATACCTCCACCATGCCTCACACCATGCTTGAGTGTAAGACCTTTTTACACCATCACTCTCTTATAAAGCCCATCCCTAGTCATCTTTATTTATGTCCAACATAAATAATATCTGATTTTATTTAATCAGATTAAATCGATACAAATCAGATATGATAATTAAACATTTTAATTATCGAAACTCCTTATTCGAATATGTTCAAAGCGTGTGACCCAATGAGTTCTCGACATGTTGGTAATAATTATAAATCTCATATTTATAGTTATAAACTATGAGCGGTATCTAGCAATACATCATCGTTATCCAAATGACGAGAATTGGTGATACAACAAATTATCGGGTTGTAGTCAATTTTAGTTTTACATATTTAATTCTTTTGTCCTTGATGTCCAGGTTGAACACGAGACATTGAATGTGTCATTCTCGTTATATCCAATCTCTAGTTTCTTGATTCCCTAATATACTAATAAAAATAGATAATGATATCTCATATCAATTATCTCATATCAATTATCTAAGCATGCATGCATTTCTATAGTATATATTTATCAAGGGGCCCAGAGACATCACTCCCGTCATAAAGGAGGGACAAATCCTATCTCGATACATGTTAATTCTATTATGTGATATGCAACATACCCAACTATCATTCTGTCAMCMAGTTACGGAATGATTAGAATAAATGTCAAAATACATTMCTCACACATAACAAACTCCATGTTCTCAAGTCAAAGAATTACATGTACATTGACCATATGAGAAACACTTATGACACTCACATGACATCCAATGAAGTGTTCTCATAACAAGTCACGTCCGATACACAAAGTCTCCATTTTGTACCCATATGCATATTCAATATCTCTATATGAATCCCTACATATGCTAGTCATTATCATATTACTTCAACCTTAAACCCGAAATAATATTTAACTAGGGACATTTAGAATACATTATTCTAAGGTTATTTATTATGAATAATTAAAACACATAATATAATATAGACATAATAAAATGGGCAATGCTTTTATATTTATCAATTTCATGAAACAAACTCAAAGTTACAATCACCATATGATTGGTTTTTGGGTATTCACTAACAATCTCCCACTTGCACTAAAGCCAATCATTCATGCATCGTATACCAATGGATCTACAGTGACCTTCATGCTTCTGCTGTGTTAACGGTTTGGTTAGTGGATCAGCAACATTATTTTCGGTTGACACTCTACTTATAACATCGCCTCTTTCAATAATATCTCTAATGAGATGATATCTTCTAAGAATATGTTTGGATCTTTGGTGAGATCTAGGTTCCTTGGCTTGAGCTATAGCTCCATTATTGTCACATAACAACTCCAAAGGACTATCACTACTAGGAACAACTCCAAGTTGAGAAATAAATTTATTGATCCAAACGGCTTCCTTGGCTGCATCTGATGATGCGATGTACTCAGCTTCTGTTGTAGAATCAGCTACTGTTACTTGTTTGGAACTCTTCCAACTCACAGCACCACCATTAAGGCAAAACACAAAACCYGATTGTGATCGAAAATCATCTTTATCTGTTTGGAAACTTGCATCAGTGTAACCCTTTACACTCAACTCTTCTTCACCGCCATAAACCAAGAATGAAWCCTKTGTTCTTCTCAAGTACTTTAGGATATTCTTGATGGCAATCCAATGACCATCTCCTGGATTAGATTGGTATCTACTTGTCATGCTTAAAGCATACGATATATCAGGTCGAGTGCATATCATGGCATACATGATAGATCCAATTGCTGAAGCATATGGAATCTTACTCATTCGTTCACTCTCTTGAGATGTAGTAGGACATTGCGTCTTAGAAAGTGATATGCCATGAGACATAGGTAAGAACCCTTTCTTGCTATCAGACATGTTGAACATTTTCAATACTTTGTCTATATATGTACTTTGACTTAAGCCAAGTAATTTCCGCGATATATCTCTATCGATCCGAATACCTAACACATAGGCAGCTTCACCCAAGTCTTTCATTGAAAAGCATTTTCCTAACCAAGCCTTTACAGACTCAAGTGTCGGAATATCATTTCCAATGAGTAGTATATCATCTACGTACAATAAAAGATATGATACGGTGCTCCCACTAATCATTTTGTAGACACAAGGTTCATCCTCATTTTTCAACAAACCAAACTCTTTGATTGCTTCATCAAAACGATGGTTCCAACTCCTTGAAGCTTGCTTCAATCCGTAAATAGATCGTTGCAACTTGCATACCTTATGAGATTTTTCATGAATGGCAAAACCTTCAGGTTGTATCATATATACATCCTCAAGTAAATTTTCATTAAGGAAAGCTGTTTTGATATCCATTTGTCAAATCTCATAATCGTGATATGCTGCAATAGCTAGTAAAATTCTAATAGACTTAATCATTACGACTGGAGAGAAAGTTTCATCATAATCAACACCTTGAATTTGTTTGAAACCTTTTGCAACCAATCATGCTTTATAGGTAGTCACATTACCATCCATGTCAGTCTTTTTCTTGAAAATCCACTTGCACCCTATAGGTCGTACCTCATTGGGTGGGTCAACTAAGTTCCAAACTTGGTTTACATACATGGAGTCCATTTCTATTCTCGTAGCTTCTAACCATTTTTCAGAGTCAGTGCTTGTCATAGCATCTTGGTAACTAATGGGCTCATCATCCATAAGCATCACATCCCCAGTATGAGTGATGAGAAATCCATATCTCTCAGGCTCATTCCGTTTTCTACCAGATCTACGAGAACTTTGTGCTACAACATCATACTGTCTTTCCACAACACTTTGCGGATCCACAATTACTTGTGGTGTCTGTGTTGGTTCCGTCTGTGTTGACATATTTTGATCTTGAATAATTTCAAGTTCTATATTCCTCCCACTGATACCTTTGGAAATAAATTTCTTTTCAAAGAAGACACCAGTACGCCAACAAACACTTTATTGTCGTGAGGATGATAGAAATAATATCCCATAGTTTCTTTGGGATATCCTACAAATATACATTTATCAGATTTAGTTTCTAATTTAGTTGTGATTAGACGGCGTACGTAAACATCACAACCCCAAATCTTCATAAAAGATAATTTGGGACTCTTCCCAGTCCATATCTCATATGGTGTTTTTTCAACAGATTTTGATGGAACCCGGTTTAGTGTGGAAGCTGCTGTCTCTAGAGCATATCCCCAAAAGGACTTTGGAAGGTTAGATTGACTCATCATAGATCGTACCATGTCCAACAGTGTATGATTCCTCCTTTTGGAAACACCATTCCACTGCGGTGTTCCAGGTGGAGTGAGTTGTGACACGATACCATAATTTCTAAGATGATCAAGAAAAGCATGGTCTAAGTATTCGCCACCTCGATCAGATCGAAGAATCTTAATACTCTTTCCAAGTTGGTTTTGTACTTCATTTTGAAAGTCTTTGAACACCTCAAAGGACTCGGACTTATGTCCCATCAAATATACATAGCCGAATCTACTGAGATCATCAGTAAATGTAATGAAGTATCTATAACCACCTCTAGCTTGTATGTTCATCGGGCCACATACATCACTATGTATGATTCCCAATACATCATTTGTTCTCACTTTGTCCAACAAACGGAGCCTTTGTCATCTTTCCTTTTAAACAAGCTTCGCACGTCCCATATGATTCAAAATCTAATTTGTTCAATAATCCATCTTTATGGAGTTTGAAGATGCAAGTTTCGTTTATATGCCCAAGGCGACAATGCCAGAGATAGGTTAAATTTGAACTATTCGATTTGACCTCCCTTTTATCTATGTTGTAAATCGGATTATCCATATTAAGAACATAAAGACCATTAATCAAACTTGCATCACCATAATATATATTATCAAAAGAGAATGAACAACATTTGTTCCTAAAATTAAAGGTAAAGTCTTTCCTGTCTAAACAAGATATAGAAATCAAATTTCTAGAAATAGATGGTACGCAATAACAGTCATCGAGTTATAATATAATCCGGTTGGTAAAGTTAACAAAATATATCCTACGGCTATAGCAGCAACCTTTGCCCCATTTCCAACGCGCAGATCAACTTCACCTTTGTTCAACCTTCTAGTCCTTTTTAGTTCCTGCATGTTTCTACAAATRTGAGAACCACATCCGGTATCTAATACCCATGATGTATAAGTAGAAAGATTAGCTTTTATCACATAGATACATGAAGTGGATTGTACATTTCCTTTCTTCTTTTCCTGAAGGTAGATAGGACAATTCATCTTCCAATGCCCGGGTTTGTTGCAGTGAAAGCACTCACCCTCCTTAGGTACAGTTACCTTAGGTTTCTTAATGCTTCCTTTTGGCTTCAAAGATTTAGAAGTGTGTTTGGCAATGGACTTTACTTTGCCTTCCATTTCTTATCCTTACGAACCATCAAAATGGTGGATTTGTTCTTTGCAAGTTCTYGCTCGGTAGTTCGTAACATGTTGAGCAATTCTAGAAGGGTTTTGTCAAAGTCATGCATGTTGTAATTCATCACAAATTGACTGTAGCTATTTGGCAACGATTGTAAAACTACATCAATGGCTAACTCCTTTCGTAAAGAGAAACCTAGTCCTTCAAGGCGTTCAATATGCCCAATCATTTTAAGCATATGAGTGCCAACAGGACTACCTTCAAACATTCTACAACGGAACAATTCTCTGGATGTTTCATACCTCTCATGTTAGGAATGGCAACGGGCCGGGTTCGGGCCGGTTTTTAGAGTCCCTGTCCCCGAAACCGATAACCATAACCATCCCCGTAACCGTCCCGATCCCCGTCGGGGATCTTATCAGGGATTCCCATCGGGTCCCCGCGGTTTCCCCGATCCCCATTGGTAACCCGTTAAGAGCAGAATAATCGTTACCCATTGGTTTTACCCGAACCCGAACCCGAATCTGGAAAAACACATATTTATGATTTAAAAAGCAAAAAATTAAAAATAAAAACATAATCACGTAAACCTGTTTGGCTGTTTCTTGGACAACCATTATCGAACAAAAATATAATCAAAATAAACCTTGACAAAAAGACAATGACCATCATATTGAGTACATGATCAACCAAAAACGTCTTAAATTACAATCCCAAAATAAACTAGAGTTTAGACATAATCCAACTAACTCGAAAGACAAATAGAAAAATTTGCTAGATTACTATTTACCAACTTCAAACCGAGAACTCCCAAACGGCCAAACTCGTCAACCCAAGCTTTCACTTTCCTTAGCTTCCTATAAAAGAAAATGWATGTAAAAGACTAAATAAATAAATATACCATAATCATCGTCAATAGTATTGTAATTGTAGTTACCTCTTCCACGTCATAATCATACTCAATAGTATGGCAATATGYTTCGGTCTCATCAGAACAAGTTTCTATAAAAAAAACATAATAAAACAATAAAATGATCGAAATATTAAATATATAACTAAAAAGAATTTATAACTAAAAACAAATATAAGGTTACCTCGTATTTCATTCAATAGACAACTTTGAGCACACATTAGAGCCTCCAATGTTTTTGGATGAAGTCGACTACGATGTGGAGTTACCAATCTTCCACCGGTACTAAATGCAGATTCCGAGGCGAYAGTAGAAATAGGAACGGCTAATATGTCTCTAGCCATCCTTTGAAGTGTTGGGTATTTAAACCCATTTGTCTTCCACCAAAGTAGCAAATCAAGTTCCATGTCTTTAGGCAAAAGTTTTTCTTTCAAATAATTATCCAATTCTGTTGTAATACCTGAATCATCATGCTGGTTGGCCATTGAAGCAATATTTGATAAGAGTTTTTTAAATTCAACCCGATGACTTGCTGAAGACCCTGAACTTAAAGAAGATGGACCACTAACACCTTCGCTGTTGTTTCTTACGCCAGGATCACTAAACTCATATTCTTGAAACAAAGTGTAGACCAATTCTTTGAGCTTCTCAAGTTCAATCGCCGATTTGTCTTGTCCGTACAACACATGAAAAAGTAACTCCACAAACTTCAATTTATACCGAGGACCCAAAACCGCTGCCATTCCCATAATCCCATGTATAACAGACCAATACTTATCAAACTTCAAAAGCATTTTTTTAGCCATGTTTCTAATAACTTCACTAGGAGAACATGACCAATCGACCAAAGAATATCTAATTTCACATATTGATGGAAAAAATACATTTGTAGTGGGATACTTTGAACCAGAAAACATTATTGTTACCTAAGATTGCCAAAAAAAAACAAAAACTAAAGTTACCTCATATCAACAAAACAAAAGTAAAGTTTAAATAAAAATTAGAATTACCTCATAAAATAATTGCAATCTATCACAAATCTCTTTAGCAAACTCCCAATCCCATTGTGTTGGCAAACTTTTATATTGAGACTCTCGTTGGTGTAAGCGTTGAAAGACGTCTTTGTAAACTATAGCAACACTAATCATCAAATAAGTAGAGTTCCATCGAGTCTTACAATCAAGTGCCAATTTCTTGGTGGATGATATTCCCAATTGGCGAGCTGCTTCCTCAAACTTTTGATCTCTTTTTGGCGATGCAGTCCAAAAGGCCACACTATCTCTGATCCTTTCAATCCCGTCCCCAAGAACAGCCAATCCATCTTGAACTATCAAATTGAGAACGTGTGTGCAACATCGCATGTGGAACAACTTCCCACCCATCATAAGTGAACTCATAGGAAGCTTATCCAACAATATGTTGATTATTGCATCATTTATGGTGCAATTATCAACAGTTAATGTAGACAGTTTCCTATCAAGATTCCAATCCAATAAACAATCATAAAGTACATCCGCAAGAACTTCAGATGTATGTGGACAAGGCACATAAATAAACCTCATGATCCGACTTTGCATATTCCAATTTTGATCAACAAAGTGAGCAGTGACCGCCATAAATCCCTATTTTTAATTGTTAGTCGTCCACATATCAGTCGTAATTGCTATCATACTAGTGTTCTTCTCTAACATCTTCAATGTCTTTTGTCTTTCAAAATCATAAATCTTTAATATGTCACTTTTAATGGTGTTTCGAGACGTAACCTTAAACAAAGGCTGAAGACCCCCCACAAACTTTCGGAACCCATGATGTTCTACTATTGAAAGTGGATACTCGTGTATGATTATCATCTCCGCGAGATTTCTTCTTGATTTATCCGCATTAAAAGTATAATTAGAAACATAAGATGAAGTACCATCAACCTTATTTTTCTCCCCTACTAAGATATGTTTGCGTATATCTCGAACAGGTCGTCTTGCACAAGACTTGAAATGGTCATGTAAATGCCTTGTACCATTTTTCGAGTTCGCTCCCAATTTCTTTTTGCAATAGTTACACTCTGCTTTATCACTACCATCCACTTTAATTTTCTTAAAGTGGTTCCATACTATTGATCGTGTTTTCCTCTTTCTACCCCCTGACTCAATTTCATCATTATCAGAGACATGATTAGTTTGCGTTTCATTTTCAATCGCTGAATTAATCGCAGGTGATGATCCAATTGGCTTACTTTGTGAAATAGACTCATTCATTATTAGATGACTATCAGTATGACTGATTGTATTGGAATCATTACATTGTATTTCCATATCTTATATCACCTATGTAAAGACAAACAAATTAAATAATACCAAGTTACCAAACCTACTCCATTGATCAACAAATAGATTATGAAGTATGAACAAAATCAAGTTAACAAGTTCTAATATTCACTTAGAATAACTAAT